CGCGGCCGGCGGGCCCGGCGTGACGCCGCTCCCCCGGTCCTGCGCTCAGCTGAGGGGCGCCAGGAGGGGCCCTTGGAGAGGGCGGAAGGCTCTCGTGGGGCGCCGGGACCGGGGACCTGGCCGAGAGGGGACCTGGATGCAGGAGGAGGTGGGAGTCGGGGGTGGCAGCGGGCAGGCATCGGGCTGGGCTGGGCAGGAGGGGCGGCGGAGTGAGATGAAGGAACCCAGAGGAACCCCAGACCTCAGCTGGGCACGGGGCCCAGGACCCTGCATTCTTGGAACTGGGGGTTACGGTGGACGCGGCCGCCTGTCCCCCATAGCCCCTATCTGAAGCCTTGCGCCTGAGTCGGAGATAGCGGCAGCTCCGCGGGCGGCGGGTCCTGCGGCAACGGTCGGGCAACGGTCGGATAGGATGTCGGGCTGTGGAGAGCAGTGAGTTTGGAGAACAGGGCTTCTCAGTGAGGAAGGAAACTAACCGCTCAGAGGAAGGGGGCGGGGAGTTTACTCTAAAGCCAAGAAATACGGGGCGTGGGGGGGCAGAAGGCTCCTAGAAAGGGGGTCCTCACTACGCCTGGCAGCCACAGCCTCGCTTGGGAGTGACCTGCCAACTCGGGGCCGCGCCTGGGTGGCTCACCCCAGCTGGATGACCAGTAGCGCCGATCTTTACCTTGGGATCGTGGTGGCAGATGGTGGCGGGCCTGGGCTGTGCCGGGGCAGCCAGGGCTTTGATGGTGACACTCTTGGGCAGGAAGTGGAGACAGGAGGACCCTGACCCGTGGGGGAGTCCTGGGTTGGGATCTGTGAACCGACGACCGTCTGGCTGAGCCGAGGCGGCGCTGCACTCTGAGGCCGCTTGCTGGCCTGTGACCGGGCAGTCTGGAAGTGGGGAGGAAGGCGCTGGCAACGACAGAGGATTCTGAGCTCTGAGGGGGACACTTCTGGGCCTTTGGGAGGCTCATGTTACAGAGCCCCGCCTGTGTAAACCCCCCACCCACACTCTTCATTCAGCCAAATCCTTTTCCCGCTCTTGGTTGCAAAAACCCGTATACAATCCAGTGTTTTCTTTGGGCTCAGTCCCTGTCACTCGGGTGTCTGGCACATGGGGGCGCGTTCCCCGACCTGAGACCCCTGCCCTTGATATCACCGGAGTCCAAAGGCAGCCTCTTCCAGCGTGCCAAGGTCTCTGGCCCGTGGGGATGTGGCATCCCCGACTCGTCCCAGGGCTTGCTCTCCTGCGGATGTGCTTTCCTGCTGCCCTTCTCCAGCTCCTGGACGTCACCTTTTAGCTTCACCGAGACAGCTGTAGGTGCTGGCGGTGCTGTCTCTGAATCAATCCCCTTTCACTTAGTGCTGTGGAGAACCTCTGTTTCCTTTTTCCTTGTTCTCGCTCCTCCTCCCCCTCCCTCCTCTACTAGCCCACGGCCTTTTCTCCAGGCGTTAATATGCTGGAGTTGCTCTCCTGCTGTCTCTTGCCTGTCTGTGATCATGTTAGCCTTCGTTTCTGTTTTTTCCAGTTTGTGTTTTCTATTCTCATGTCTTTTTTCCTTTTCGCTCTTCACTCTTTTGCGTGCTTTTATTATTTTTTTTCTGCTGTGGCTTGCTCTCAGGCCACAGTCTTGTTCAGATGCTGACTGTCCCTTCCCTTCTGGGTCCATCCTCCCTCGCTGCCTTTCGCCTCCCATCCCTTCCTGGACAGAGCGCTGGCGAGGCTCGAGCCGGATGCGCACCGCCACCTAGAGGCCCGCCCTGGAGCCACACTCTGGTCGCCTGAGCCCTTGGGCCCCAAGGCCCATGACTCCTCCGAGATGGCCTGGCTGGGTTACCAGGATGTTGCAGCCCCACAGCCCCGTCTCCCAAGACTCACCCACTGAGTGGCGACCGCAGTTCTCATCCACTCTCACTGATCGGTCACAACTCGCCCAGCTCGCAGGGCAGGCTCGCCTGGACTGTGCCTCTTCCAAACTCAGAACAAGTCAGGCTGGGGGAAGAAGTGTTGTGAGCTCAAGGGACATAGAAAGGACATCCTGCTGGGTCTGCGCTGCTCTGCCCAGGCAGTGCCACAAGGCCTGAGCAGTGTCCAGTGATGATTCCCCTGGGTCCATGTGGCTTTCCCATTGCAGGGCCATCTGAAGGTGTCTAAGGTATAGGTTTTGGTATAGTTGATCTAGTACCCTGAAAAATAAGAATAGGGGCTCCTGGGTGTGGGGGAGGAGGCTGGGCGCCTGGACTCCCAGGTCTGAGGGAGGAGGGGGCCAGGGACCTGGACTGGGGGTCTGAGGGAGGAAGGTTCTGGGGGCTTGGACTCGGGGCCTGAGGGAGGAGGGGGCTGGGGGCCTGGACTGGGGGTCTGAAGGAGGAGGGGGTGGGGACCTGGACTCCTGGGTGTGGGGGAAGAGGCTGGAGGCCTGGACTGGGGGTCTGAGGGAGGAGGGGCGGGGCCTGGCGCCCTGGGGGCCGAGGGAAGAGGGGCCGGGGCCTGGCCCCCCGGGGTCTGAGGAAAGAGGGGCTGGGGCCTGGGGTAGCTGACCTGTAGGTCTCTGGCTTTTCTGACTCTCGTCAGGAGGATTCGCTTACCTGTGCACCTTCCTCCTCTCCGTCCGTACTGGCGTCTGAGTATTCTCAGGGCTGGGGCCAAAGTTCCCTGGGGTGGGAGGCGCTCGTGTTCGACTTTGCCCAGCTTGGAGGAGGGGATGGCACTGATTCAGCTCTGTCGAGGGATGGCCCCGTGGGGATAAGGGAAGGGACTTGGCCAGGACCACACACGCCCCAGCTCTGCTCCACTGGGCCTGGGCAGAGCAGGCCAGAGGGATCTCCCAAGCGAGGAGGTGCAAAGGGTGCCAGAGCCCCCTGCTCGCACTCTCCTGAACTCAACACGTTTCTTCCCCCAACGCCAGATTTGGGCCCGGAAACTTCTCCCTGTCCATTGGCTTCTGTGTGGTCCCAGGAGATATGCCGCATCTAACTTCAAGGTGAAAGAAGGGGACGAGACTTCGGAACCTCAGGAGGGGGGCTGGGGCCTGACCCCAGGTCTGAGGGAGGAGGCAGCGGCGCCTGGACTCCTGGGCCGAGGGAGGCGGGGCCGGCAGCTAGACTTGAGCATCTCCCGAGGGCCAGGGCCCAAAGATGAAGGCGGGTGGCAGGGGGCAGCTCAACAGCCTGCCACCGGTGGCGGGGAAGGAGATGCAGTTCCGTGTCCCAGAGCCTCTGGCTACACAGCGCTCTTCCCTTTGGCCCTTCGTGCCAAGGACTTAGGCAGGTGCAGTTTTCCCATTTGTGGAGGGTGTAGCCAGATTCCAGGAAACCTGGGCCCCCGTTCTTTCCTCAGGCTGCCGACCTGCAGCTGGAAATGACGCAGAAGCCTCAAAAGAAGCCTGACCCCAGCGAGACCCTGGTGTTCGGGAAGACGTTCACTGACCACATGCTGATGGTGGAGTGGACGGGGGAGAAGGGCTGGAGCCGGCCCCGGATCCAGCCCCTGCAGGACCTCTCGCTGCACCCGGCCTGCTCTGCCCTCCACTACTCCCTGCAGGTGGCATGCTGAGCTGGCCCCTGTGCCCTGGCACGTCTCCCCTCCTGCTGTGCCCTCGCTGGCGCCGCCCCGGCTTTGCGCTCGTGAGCTCTGTCTCTCCCTGCCCGTCCAGGCCCTGCGTGGCGCCGGCCTCCTGACACGCGTGTACCCGCTTCCTTCATGTGCACACCCGTGTTGGAGCCCGGTGGGGCCTGTGCTGTGGTGGAGGCAGCTGAGGCCTGTGGGATGCCCGGGAGAGACCGAAACTCTTCTGCAACGAAGTGGGGGTCCCTCCCAGCAAGGGGGGAGCTTAAATGGGAGAGGGAGAGGGCGGCCTGCACAGTGGTACGGCACAAGAACAGTCTGGAGTGTGTGGGGAGCGGGCTGGAGGACACGGGGGTGTCGGGGGTGAGGCCCTGGTGCACTGGCCTGGAGCTGAAAAACAGAGGGGGGGGAGCGGGGCGGCAGCAGGCTGGAGAGAGCAAGGGAGCGGTGGGGCCCCCCCGCCAGGCTGGGGCCGGCCCCCAGGGGCTCCCGGGGAAAGCATCTCTGAGGGACTCGGGGAGGAGGGAGCGCCGGCCTGAGGCTTCCCGGCCCAAGGCGCATCCTCCTGCTGAAGCTTCGCTGCTGTAGGTGGGCGGCCTGTCACCCGCTGTTCATCGGCTGGCCGTCTGAGGCGCTCGGGGCCGTGGTTCTGTGACTTTAGGCCATTTTCCTCTGGTTCTTTGGCAACGTCGAGGCTCCTTTTCTGCACACCTGCTCTGGCTGTTCTACTGGGACCTCTGGGCTGTTCTAGCGAGCGCGGCGGCTTGGTGCGGAGCCCAGGGAAGGCGCCTCGCCTCCCTGCAGCCCCCGCAGCAGCCGGTCCTGTCCCAGAGAGCGAGTGCGGGGGGGGGGGGGGGCAAGAGGCCTTGGCGGACCTAACGTACATTTTCGAGATCCTTCCTGCGCCAGGGGCCTGGCAACTGAGGCCAGCGCGGACGTAGGAGGGTCACAGCCGCAGCCGCCCTCCCTCCGGGGCACGTGCGGCCCACTGCCTCCTTCACGGTGGTGACACGCGCAGGCCCACACAGTCGGTAGCGCGCCCCGCCCTTCGTGAAGGCCACCCCCGGGACAGGAGCACACTCGCCAGAACTCGGTTCATCCTCAGCAGAAACGGGGGCTCCACTAAGGAGTCACTGCCCACAGCCCTTGTCCCAGGCCGACCACCACTAATCTGCTTTCCTTTCTGTCCTTACAGGTTTTTTTTTAAATGTCTATTTTGACTTTTAAAAGTACAATTAAAAAATGGGCCGCATATTCACCCGTTTGAGGACTCTAGCTACCAACCAGAGAGGATCGCTCCCCTGGGCCTCCGCCCCTTAGCAGCCCCATTTCGGTTCCCACGAGCATACTGTCACATGTCCCTTGACAGCAATATGGTGTGAGAAATTCGCCCTCAGGCAATTTCATCTCTGTCTCTGATGACACAGACCAGATGGCGCCGCCTCCTACATGCCCAAGCTGCAGGGCACAGCCCGCTGCGGCCGCCGACGTGGACCCGTTGGTCATTGACCCAAATGTAGTTAAGCAAGGGCTTCACTGCATCCTTCCACAGGAGAGGTAGCAGGTGGCGCTCTCCCTGCCTGGCGTCTCGCTCTCTTTAGTGTGTGTTCAGCTGTCCTCAACAAGCCTTTCCTTTGTCGCTGCTGCATAGTATTCCAGTCCCGGTGCTTCACGGGGGCAGTCCCCCATTGCTGGACAGTTAGGTCCTTTCCAGTCTTGGGCTATTCTAAGCAATGTTGAAATAGACACTCTAGGAAACATCACTTTAAGTTCAAGTACTTCCATTCAGTTCTAGAACCACTGGGTCAAAGGGCGTAATGATGTAACTGGGTGGTCCCTAGGAGTGCCTCTCTCTGAATTGAGGTGCCCTATAACAATGACATTCCCGCCCACAGTGGATCTCATGTAGGACCGTGGTCCTGTGTTTGGCCTCAGTGTGTAGGAGGCTGTACCATCGAGGTTTGTGTAATTACACTTGGTCTTCACACAATACCTGGTAGCACGTCTTAGAACATACCGTTATTGAGCAATGAATGACTATCCCCAGCCTCGGAGAAGTCTGTCAGTCTCCACACCCACCAGCAGTCTTTCTCCATAGTCCTGGGCGACTCAAGTTTCGTCACCTCTTCCCGTCTCCTCAGTGGCTGTAAGGGTGTCTACATGACGTAGTCAGCATCTTCCCCAGGTGTGGGGGAAGCTGGTCATCTGTCACCAGCATGAGACTCGCGTGAATTTCCTTGTCCACGAACTCTTCATTTTCGAGGTTGCATTTTCTATCCGGGTGGGACCCCAAAAAACTGCAGGACGACTTGGTGCACTAGCTAAACCATTTGTGTTATGCCTTGAGAGTCAGACGAGGTGAGAGAGGCCAGATCCGTGGGCCCGGCCGGCCCAGGGCAGGGCTTGGCCTTTCTCCTGGCAAGGTGAAAGCAGGTGGGGAGGGGATCTAGTTTTTCAAAAAAGCTATGAAGTTTCATTATGGGAAACCTCAGACACGAAGCAAGGGTGTCGGCACCCCGTCCCCCAGACGCCCCTCCTGGGGCGGCCTTGCTGGCGCCCCCTGGTTTCCTCTCCGGACTTGTCTTCTCGGCGTCAGGCTCGCGCGCTGTCTCCGGCTTCCCGTGTCCTCTGCGGGTGTCGCTTCTCGGCCCGCCCGAGGCTGGCCGGGTGGTCCCGCGCCCTGAGCCGCCCGCCCGCCCCTGTCCCGCAGCTCTTTGAGGGCATGAAGGCGTTCAGGGGCCAGGACCAGCTGGTGCGCCTCTTCCGCCCCTGGCTCAACATGGACCGCATGCTGCGCTCCGCCCTGCGGCTCTGCCTGCCGGTGAGGCCCTGGCCGGCCGGGGGGTGGTGTGGGGGATGCGGCCGCCAGGCCCCTGACTCCAGACCCCCCCAGAGTTTCGACAAGGCGGAGCTACTGGAGTGCATCCGCCGGCTGGTGCAAGTGGACAAGGACTGGGTGCCCGACAGGCCGGGCACCAGCCTCTACGTCCGTCCCGTGCTCATCGGGAACGAGGTACGTCCGACTCCCGGGGCGGGGGGGCTGGGGGCCCGAGGGGGGGCCGGGACCCCCAGCTCCTGGGTCTGGCTGGAGGAGGGGCCGGGGCCGGGGCCGGGGCCCTGACGCCGCTCTGCCCCGGCAGCCCTCGCTAGGTGTCGGCCACGCCACACGCGCCCTCCTATTCGTCATTCTCTGCCCGGTGGGCTCCTACTTCCCTGGAGACTCCGTGAGCCCTGTCTCCCTCCTGGCTGACCCCACCTTCATCCGGGCCTGGGCGGGCGGGGTCGGCGACTGCAAGTTGGGGGGGTAAGTAGTTCCCTCCCTGCCCCCCCGTGTGGCGCCCTGGACCTCGGCAGGCAGTGCCCTGCCCTGGGAGGGTCTTGGGTGGGCAGGGATGTGGCTGGCAGGCAGGGCCCTTCCTCAGTGCCACGGGGCAGCTTAGGGGGCAAGGGCCTGGGTGGAGGCGCCCTGGAGCTCTCAGGAAAAACGTGTAGCGAAGCTGATTGGCCCCGGCCCGGAAGCTTCCTCTGCCTGCCCAGGGCTGGCGCCCCCTTCCCGCCTGCAAAGCCCGTCAGCTGGCGGAAACATTCTGTGTGAACCTCCTCGGTGGCTGTGGAAGGGACGGGGCTCCTGGCCGGAGACCACAGGGGCGCAGTTGAGCCGGTGGGGGCTTCCTCAGGTCCGCTCCCTGCGCATTTGGGAGTCGCCTCAGGGTCAGGCCTGGGCTGGCCAGTAGCCTGCCCCCCGGGGCCCCAGTAGCCTGGGGCCCGCACAACCAGAGCAGCGGCGAGCGCTCTTTGGGGGCACAGCGGGCGTCTTGAAGGCCTCACAGCAGTGGTGGCGACACCCCCGAGTCATGGGTGAGGCATTTCCGGGCTTCCCGGAACAGAGGACAAGGCCTTTCCATCCCGGGGTCCTTGTGTGTGGGGCAAGGAGGAAGGGAGAGTCCCATGGTGTCAGGGAAGGGAAACAGGTCTGGTTTTTGCAAAAGGCTTAGGCCCAGGCGGGCCCTGGACGCCAGAGTGGGGGGCTGGCACCTTGTCCCAGAGGCGACGGGGAGCCACAGCCAGCTTGTGAGCAGGTGAGGGGCCAGGTCAGCTCCGGGTGAGCAACCACCTTGAAACAGGCAGTACAGGGAGTCGCCGGTGCCCAAGCTGGTGGGGGCCGGGGGTGCGGAGAAGGCCTGGAGCCCAGTCTGGACGTTCTGACGGCTGTCAGCGGCGGTGACCACACGGGGTCCGGAGCACACGTAGGGAGTGTGTCCTTGGGTGAGGAGGGGGCCCCGGCAGTGCCCGGGGCGTGAGCGTGGGAGGGCAGAGAAGGCGAGTGGACACCCGGGCCTGGAGCGCAGCCGGCCTGGGCGCCGGGACGAGGGCAGCTCCCGGGTCTGGGCAGAGGTGGGCCCTTGCCTGGCTGACCAGGCCGCCCTCCACCAGGAATTACGGGCCCACAGTGTTCGTGCAGCAGGAGGCGAAGAAGAAGGGCTGTGAGCAGGTGCTCTGGCTGTACGGGCCTGACCACCAGCTCACCGAGGTGGGCACCATGAACATCTTCATCTACTGGACCTACGAGGACGGCGGTGAGCCTGCCCTGACCCTCCCAGCCCTGGTGGACGTGGGGTCCTGCGTCCCAGCCGGGGGCAGGTCTTGAGAAGTGGGGGTGGCCACTCCTAAGAGAATGGGGGGCGTGCCTGGGGCTGCCAGTAACTCCCACCCTCCTCCCCCAGTGCTGGAACTGGTGACGCCCCCGCTGGATGGCGTCATCCTGCCCGGAGTGGTCAGACAGAGCCTGCTGGACCTGGCCAACACCTGGGTGAGGGCAGGAGCGGTGGGTGCCTGTGGGCAGCCCTGGTGCCGTCTGCTTACCATGGGGAGGGCAGGGCCCGGCGGTGGCGGGCCCGGGCGAAGTCTCTTTTCCCGCAGGGCGAGTTCCGGGTGGTGCAGCGGAAGATCACCATGACGGAGCTGGTGCGGGCGCTGGAGGAGGGTCGGGTCCGGGAGGTCTTTGGTTCCGGCACCGCCTGCCAGGTCTGCCCTGTGCACCAAATCCTGTACCAGGGCAAGGTGAGGGGCATCTCTGTGGGCGCCGGGCAGGAGCTGGAGGGGAGAGGGAGCGGGCCGGGCCTCATGGTCCCTTCTGCCCCAGAACCTCCACATTCCCACCATGGAAAACGGCCCCGAGCTTATCCTCCGTTTCTACAAGGAGCTGAAGGCGATCCAGGTGAGGCGCTGTGGCCGGTGGTTTCCCCGGAGCCTCGGCAGGTGGCCCCTGGTCCTGCCCCTAAGAAGCCCCTCTGGTGCCCTCGGGCCCCATCCTGGGGGCTGGGGGTGAGGGCTCCCTAATCAAAGACCCCTTTCTCATGAACCTCTGGATTTCTGGGCTCACCACGCGCCTTGAGCACCTTCCCTGAAGCTCTGTGGTTCCCCTGAGAGACTCCCGCCTGGAGGCCCCCCGCTCAACGCCCCCGGAGATGCCCCTTCTCCGACCTCTGGCCCCTGGCCCCCGCTGGCCCTGGTCGCCCTCCCTTCGGCCTGGGAGGAACGTCCAGCCTCCTGAGCCCAGAGAGCATTCCTCAGACCCTCGGGGCTCCTTTCCTGGCGCTGGACCTGCGGGAGCTGCGGCCTCCCAGGTGCATGGGACGGAGAGCCCCGCGCTCCCGACTCTCGGACCCCTCGGGAGGACCGTCCCCCAAAGCCTCCAGGCCCCAAAGCCTCCAGGCCCCGGCTCTGGGCTGCACATCCCCCAGAGCCACTTGGGGGAAGCGGCCACACCCCGCCCTGGGCCTCCGCGCCCGCCCCTCAGCGGCGCCCTGTCTCGCAGTACGGAGCCAAGGCGCACGAGTGGATGCTGCAGGTGTGACGCCCCGTGTCCTGGCCGCCGCATCTCGCCCGACGCTCACCTCACTCCCAGTGACTCACCTAAAGTGCAATATGAGACTAACGGCCCGGCTGGCCTGCTCCGGTGCTCCTGGTCGCTACACTCCCAAAGCCAGACGGCCCAGGTGTCTGGGCCCCCAGCCCCGCCTCTCCGTTTTGTGGGGTGAAGACTGCACCTTGGCCTCGATTCTGTGTCTCTCCGTCTCCGGATCTCCCAGTGGTGCCGTTGATATATATATATATACACACACACATATATATATATATATATTCTCTTCTTGCTGCAATTTTGAAATAAAATGCCAAAGAACAAGACATCAGCAGTCATCTCCAATGATCAACCCAGGGACCCTGGGTTCTTTTTTTGTTACTGTTTATGTGTGACAAATATTCCATATTGGTCAAAAAATACGGAATGCTTCTCGAATTTGCGTGTCATCCTTGCACAGGGGCGGGCTAACCAACTACCCCTGGGGCCCTGGGTTCCTCGGCAGGGCAGAGCGCCGCAGACGGTTCCCACAGGACTCAGCAGCCCCAGGGGCTTCTGCCGGGGAGGGTTTTCCACGTCTTCCCCGGGCAAGCCGCCCTCTGCCCGCCGAAGCCCAGGCGTCCTCCAGGCCGACTGCTGCCCCAGCGGCCCTGTCCGCCCTCCCCTGCCCGCTCATCTTGGCTCCAGCGCAGACCTGTCTTCAGACGGTCCCGCCACCGGCCTCTCCCGCCAGTCTGGCCCCCAGAGGTCACTGCCCCGCCTTTACCCTGGCCCTGCTCACTGTCCCCCAGGGTTCCTCGCGCCCAGGCCCAGGCCGCACTCTGGTAGTGGATATGGAGGGAGGCGGGACACTTACCCCAGGAGAGGGCAGATGCCAAGACGCCTGTAAGACAAGTGCTACCCTCGTTTGGCCTTTAGCTGCCATGTGGCGGTGCAGGAAAGTCAGCTGTGAGGATCAGGCCTACCTGGCTGCTAGTCTGTCACGTTAGATGTGAGGCATGTACAACTCACCTCCAGGCCAGCTTGCTGGAGGGACACGGCGCTGGACTACTAAGCAGGTGCAGCCTGTGGCCTATCCAGCTGCCACCGACTTGGAACTAGAATTCTGATTTGTTGAGGCTGCAACTAACTATCGCCACATACTCCTCTCTTGTCAAGGATTGCTCAAAGGAAGGACTGTGCCGCGAGGTCACAAGGGGGTATTTTCTGGGAAAGCTTCCTTCCCTTGATCAGAGAATCTAGAAGAACTACCGCTCCCTCCCTTGCTGTGGCAGTGATGACCTGAAAGTGTCACTTCACGCCCCGAAGAGAGAGCCACTGTCTCACACAGGGCGGAGCACAGAGGTCTCAGGCTCTTCAACCACGACATGTCTGATTTCTAGATTGTTTTCAGACAAAACAAAAACCTATTTTAGCCACGATTTGTCTTTTGTTATTTAAAGTATCTGTCTTCCTGTGGCCAGCCGCTGCTGCTCTGCAGAAGGAACAGGTTTCTGGAAAACAGCTTCATAGTCACAGGCAGGCAGGACAGTTGCCCTTGGTGAATTCTTCAGAGTATAAAAAGATCTCAGAATCCAAACAGTTGAGAACAGCTGTCCTCGGACAATGCCTGTACCTAGCAAGTGGACGTGAGTGTGAGTTAAATAACAAAATAACAACTGATGTGACCTGGCTGCTACTCATCTCATGGAAGAACTCCTGGCAAGAGTTGCAGCGAAAGGAGACAAGCTTCTGTCTCGTGGAACAGGTTTCCATGAACTTGCTTGACTTTGCTCAATCACTTTCAATGCAAATAAGACCTTCAAGGTAAAGACGACAGTTACTGGGTGGCGCATATTTACAGTTCGGATACTCCTCACACTGCCCACTTAAATCTTCTGTGACCTTGAGGGAAGCGTTAACTTCTCTGAGGCTTAGTTTCCTCACTTTTATTTTTTTTAAAGGATTTATTTTTATTTATTTATGTATATAAGAACTGGAGTGTAGGACAGAGGTGCAGGGGGTGGGGGTGGTATATGGATTCACCAGAGTCAGAGCAGGGAGCAGACAGGCAGATGGACTGAAATCCACTGCTGAGGGGAGAGGCAGCGGGGAGATCAGAGAGGTCTGCTGCGCCCTGAGGGTCACTCCCTGGCAGCGACTGGGGGATGGATCTCCTGCCTCAGTGGCTGCAGATAGTTTCATAGTCCTCGCTTTAACCCCTTGCGCCACCGGGGGGGCCCGAGATGTGAACATTTTTATTGGTTTCTGTAAACAATTATTTTTAATTAGCACAAAAAGTAAGATTGTCTAGCTGTGAATGCTAAAATCCATTTCTAAGTACAAAAATAAGGATCTCTATATGTAAACATGTATATGTATCTCTGCAGCCATACACTATGTATGTGTATTTATACACATGTATTCTTTCTGTTATAAGAAAAAGTGAGGAAGAATAAGATGAAATTCATGAATAGAAAAACTGCCCCAGGAAGGCAGGTCTCAGGTGAGGCCGAGAAGTGTCAACACTGCCACCTGGCGGACAATATTGGCATAGAGTTAAAAAAGTGGAAAAGAAAACAATGAAAAGTTGACTATGGGGTGCATCCCAAGGAGGTGCCGGCAGTTTCCACTGTGTGATGGGCTAAAAACGTTTTCATGCCACCATAAAATTTTACAATCTTGAGGATGCCTTTTTGGGAAACCTCGCTTTAGACAATATTTAAGAAACACTGGTTTGGGCATTTATGAAAACACCACCGTCACCATCCACTCAAGACGGGAACCTTCTTCCTAAGGTCAGACGCAAGGAGAGGACGCTGCCGTGCTGTTTTATATTCAACACTGCCCTGGAAGTTCTATCCAGAGCAATTCCGCGAGAAAAACAAAAGACATCCAAGTTGTCAAGACCTAAGTAGAATGATCTCTTGTCACAAATCACAAGCTCTCACAGATAGAAAATGCTAAAAATCCATACAAAAACACTTTGAAGTCATAAATTTAGCAAAGTTGTAGGACACAAGGTAAACACACAAAAATCAGTTGTCTTTCTTTACACTCACAATGAGTCCTAACATGAAGTAAAGGGTCCTCCCTGGTGGTGCAAGGGGCTGAGTCTCAGCCCGAGGAAGCTATCTGCAGCCGCTGCAGCATGAGTTCCATCCCCGGCCAGGGAGGGACCCACAGGGCGCAGCAGACCTCTCCTGTCTCCC